GAGGGTGTGTGCACTTGTCAAAGAGAGGCAGAGAAAGTACCCCCCAACAGGGCATGGTATGACCCCACAGTCCCTTCTCCTCATTTCTCCATCCAGTCAGGATTTGGGGAATGCATGCACATGCATCTGATGTGTTTTTTCAGCCGCAGAGGCAGAGATTCTAACTGTGGTCTGCCATGTGGGATCAGAATCTCTTAACTACTGGGATATGAGGCTAGCCAAGCCATTATTTCCTGCTTAGATTATATAACAGCTTCTTAGCAATTTAGCTTCTTTTCTTGCACAATATAGCAATCAATGTGATCCATTAAAAAAATATTATATCATCCTTCACTTCAAAACCCATCAGTGGATGGGGCTGGCAGATGGCAGGATGGTTGAAGGCACTGGATTCCCACATGGCCGACCACAGTTCAAGTCCTGGACCTAGCAGCTTGCCTTCTCTCTCTCTCTCTCTCTCTCTCTCTCTCTCTTATCCTGTCCCTCTCAGGTTAAATTAAAAAAATAAATAAATAAACGGAGTTAAATAAAAATTTAAAAAGTGGCTACTCAGGTTATTCAGATTGACTGAACACAACAGACAAGCTCTCTACTGGGACCTTTTCTCTGCCTGGAATGCTTTTCCCCTTAGTATCCTCTTGGCCCACTCCCTTATCTCTTATAGGTCAGATCTTTCCTTTTCAGTGAGGCTTATCCTGACCACCCTAAGTAACAGGGCTGCCTACCCTGTTATTTTCCTTTTGGTACTTCACATCCTCTTTACCCTGCTCTCCTTTTTCTTTTCCATATGCTTGTCATCTTCTAATGTATGCATTATAGAAATGCATATCTAATATGGTAGCCACTAGCCACATGTGTTTTATTTTTTTAAGTTTTAATTAGTAAAAATAAAATAAAGACTTTTCTTTCTCCTTCATGCTAGCTATATTTCAAATGCTCGGTAGTCCCATGTGTGCTGCTGGCTACTATATTAAGTAGCACAGACAGAATTATTTTCGTTATTTCAGAATTGAACAGCTCTGCCACAGAATTTACCAATGTATTGTGTCTAATGTTATTTTCTTTTTTTTTTTTTTTGGAGAGATTTTTACTGTAGGGCACGTGCGCTCGCCAGACAGACAGAGAGAGACATAGAGACAGAAAGCGAGAAATCACCCCCCAGGGGGGATGGTCACGCCGCAATCCCTTCTCCTCCATTCTCCTCTCGGGATCTTGGGCACGCACGCACACGTGCCCGGCGTGAGTTTTAAGCCACCGGGTCCGGGACACGAACCGCGGTCGACTACGTGGGAGTCCAGCGACATAGCCATTACACTAACTGCTGGTTCCCCTCTAATGTTATTTTCTATATCTCATTTATTAGAAAGTAAACTCCACAAAGGTAGAGATCATTCTTTGTTTTATTTACTGATTAAAAAAAAAATCTCCTAAAACAATGTTGGTGATACCAGCAGGTGGCATGGTGGTTAAAATGCATGGCCAACTGTGGTTCGTGTCCCAGACTGGGTGGTCTGAAAATCAGGCCAGGTGCTTGTGCATGTATGCCCAAAATCTCAAGAGGAGAATGGAGGAGAAGGGATTACAGTGTGGCCATCCCCAAAGGGGGTGATTTCTTACTTTTGTCTGCCTCTCTGTCCAGGGAATGCATGTACCCTATGGCAGCAACTTAAGAAAACAAAACAAACAAACAAACAAAAAAGCAGTGCTAGCACATAGCTAGTGAATAAATATACGTTTAATTGAGTGGAATTACCATTATGTAAGTTATTAAAATACTTGAATTTCTTTTTCAGTTTATAAAATAACATACTTATAACCAATAATTTTTTTAAAAAAGATATATTCATTATTATTATCATTTTTCAGTTTGCTATAGGGTATATGTGCTCACCAGTGAGAGAGAGAGAGAGAGAGAGAGAGAGAGAGAGAGAGAGAGAGAGAGAGAGAGAGAGAGAGAGAGAGAGAGAGAGAGAGAGAGAGAAAATGAGAAAGCAAGTCACCAGGTTCGGAACTCGAACCATAGTCAGCCATGTGGGAGTCCAGCGCCTTACTGCTATGCTACCTGCTGGCCCTAGAAGCTAACATTTTTTTGTTTGTTTGTTTTTTGTGTGTGTAGAGGGGAAGAGGCTTCACCCAGGACACAAAACTAGTTTAGGGGTGAAGCCAGAATTTGAATCAATGCATCTGATTGCCAGTAGACAGAGCTTAACCAATCCTTACTCATTTTGCTTTGGACTTTTAGGTTAGTTTTGGAGTTCAGATTAAATATACCCTTCTACTTAACTGTTCATGAGGGAATTAAAGTTAATGACACTTTTCATAAAGAGGAAATGTTATGCTTAATGCTGAGTTGTCTTGGCAACACAGTGAGTTTAAGGATCAAGTTTTATTTAAAACCTTGATTCACTTGAGTTAAGATCTTAGATTTCAATAACCTAAAAAATTATTCATCCAAAAATACTGACGTAAAATACATCTTTAGAATTGAAGTTAGGTAGTCATAAAAGAAGATAACATCTGTCACTCTCAGGTTGTTGTATTTTCGCCTGTATTATGTTGGTTTGGGCTCTTGTTGGGTATTTACTTTGCTTGCTTATTTCCAAGTAGATTTTGTGTGCTGGGGCATGTGTAAATAAATTTAATTCCTGTAAACTAAGGCATAAATGAACAATGCAAGTGAACTTTATTTTTCCTAGGTTCTTTGTTATTTTTTTTTTTCTTTATCGATGATGGAGCAAGTGCATGAACACATAAGGTAAGAGAAAGAGAGAGGAGCACACTCCATAGGGTCTGGTTATGCCACAGTCCCCTTCCTCCAGCTCGGCAGCCCATTGGGTTTTGGACACTCACGTGCATGCCCTGTGTGTGTCAGGCTAACCGGGCTGTCAGCTTAAACCAGTCACCATGTGGGATCTGACTCCTCTTCAGCAGTACACTACTGCTGTGCCATGTTAGCCCATGTTATTGTTAAGATGATAGTGACTGATACTTAATCATTTTAATAAGGGATAAAGGTGGTATTTAAAGTTTATTTTCTTTTTTGTTTGAGAGAGAGAGAGAGAGAGAGAGAGAGAGTGGTATTATGCTTAAACCAGTCACCATGTGGGATCTGACTCCTCTTCAGCAGTACACTACTGCTGTGCCATGTTAGCCCATGTTATTGTTAAGATGATAGTGACTGATACTTAATCATTTTAATAAGGGATAAAGGTGGTATTTAAAGTTTATTTTCTTTTTTGTTTGATTGAGAGAGAGAGAGAGAGAGAGAGAGTGGTATTATTGACAGGATCTTGTCACACACAAGCCAATCAGCCAGGATCACAGGCCTACGTTTTGGGTTGGCCTAGGATTCGAACCTGGGCCTCTCATGTGACTCCAGTGTCCCTCAGCAGTGTCCTATGACCTGTGCCACTGTGGCTGGACCAAAGGAGATAACTCTTATATTTATCTGTTTATATTATTTCCGGATCTTTCACATTCTGTATTAGAGATGAGAGCTTTTAGCATAGCCTGTCTTGGAATGCCTTCTACATTCAAGCTGAGAGCAATCCTTGTCAAGCCATTGTTGCACACAGGAATCGCATGGAGGACACTTAAATACTGATGAGTTTTGTCCCTAGAGATTGTGATGCAAATGGGGGGCATACTGCCTGGACATTAGGAGTTTTTAAAGTTGTTTATGTAAATTTCAGTGGCTAACTGGGCTTGAGAACTGGTGGAATGTATTAGTGGTTCCCAAACTTGTCTTCATATTGGCATCACCGGAAGAACTTCAAACACTGCTAATGCCTGTGTCTTCCTGCCCCAGAGATTGTGATTTAGTTGGTCTGAGCTGTTGCTTGATTTTGGAAGTTAAGAATTCTAGGTGGTTTTTAAAAAAATTTTTTTTTTAAATTTTTGCTACAGGGGGTGTGTGCTTGCTGGAGACACACACACACACACACACACACACACACACACACACACAAGTATGGTCATGCCACAATTCTATTTCTTCCCTTTATCCCTCCTTTTGAGATTTTGGGCACACATGCACATACACCTAGTGCATTTATCAAATCTCACAGTTGGCCATGTGGGATTCAGCCACTTTAACCACTATGCCATGGGCCAGCCCCTAGGTGATATTGAATGTGGGAAGAGTTCTGGAGTCCTCTGACCTATGCTGTGATTTTTAACGTTGGCTGTACATTAGAATCATCTGAAGAACTTTTCAAATTCTTGTTTCCCCAGGGGCCATGCCGTAATGCAGAGGTAATATAGTTGGACCCACACGAGGTCCTGGATTCAATTCCTGGGGTCTCCCTGAGCATACTGGATGTGAGCATGGATGTGCTGTTGTTATCTAAGCTGGCTGAGAGTTGGGGTGGATCAAGGCACTGAAAGCGCTTGTTGGGGTTGTTTCTTTGTTTCACTTTCTCTCATGGGAAAAAAATAAATAAAAAGAACAAACAAACAAACAAACAAAAATACCTCTCATTGACCCGGCTTGCCCCACACTAATGAAACAGAATCTTTAGAAGCTGACGCTGGCGCCAGTATTTTTGGAAGCTCCCCAGTCTCTTTTTTCCTCTCCTCTACGCATTTGATCTAACTACATTTAATTTCCCAATTCAGGATACTTAATATAGAAGAGGATTATATTTATGTAGATATGCTGAGTTTATTTTCTTAGACCAACATGAAAGGAGAGAGAGCTAAGCAAATTATGGAAAGTGATGTTTTCTACTGCCTGAATACTTAACTAACAAAGTTAGTAATAGTTTTGCCTGTTTATCTTGATGTAGTTTGATTGGTACTAAAACTAAGGATGAGATTGCTGACTGATTGTTCTGATTTAAGAATTCTATACCTCCCTATCCACATTGCCCTTACTTGTATTTTCCAGTTGGTATCAAGAATGAATTCTTCCTCTATAATCAATAAATCGTTAAGAAAAATGTAAGTGATATCCTCTGTGTGTGCCTTAGTTAGCTTGTTCCTTTCCCTGCCTTCTCCAGGAGTGCCAGGTGTTAAAGCAGAGCGATTTGAAGAAGGAATGAAAGTAAAGCATTGTGCGTTATCGCTTGTGGGAGAACCAATAATGTACCCAGAGATCAACAAGTTTTTGAAGCTACTCCACCAGTGTAAAATCTCCAGTTTCCTGGTCACAAATGCACAATTCCCGGTGGAAATCAGGTGAGTGGTTCAGTCTGTTGAGATATAGTGATAGAATCTGTGTTTGACTGCAAAGTAAAACTAACAAGCATGAGTATAGCCCAAATGGACTTATTCATTAATTACTACATATGAATGCTGGACTTTGGGAGGCAGAGATTGCTCTTCAAAATCGGTTTTATTAGCAAAGGCATTAGTTAAAAGAATAGAGGCACAAATAAATTAGTAGGAGAACTCAAAAGAGAATGTATTTTTTTTTTTCCCCAAATGGCAGAAGCAAGGTTAAACTTTTTAAAGAAGCCAACCTTTAATTTGGATCTTAAAATATGCCTGGGATTGGTACTTGGGGAGGAAGGAAATGATATATATTTTTAAATAAAGAACCTCCTAAGATTTGGAGTTAGGGTATTTATGACAACCATTATGTAAATATCCTTCATCTGTACTTACAGAAAAAGAGCAGCAGTTGGAAATGAGGTTGGAAAGGTTGGCAATAGAGTGTAGGGGATTTCAAATGCTGTTCTTTAGAAAGATCTTGCTTCCTGCAGAGTAATCTGCTAGCACGGTATGAAATGGAAGAGACAAGAAGCAGGAACCTGAATAGGAGATTATGATGTTTTGTTTACATTAGAGTTAGGAGGATGGAAGAAGGACAGTGAGAACAAGGACTCTTAAAACAGATATTTGTGAGGCATAATAGAAAAGATTGGCAAACTGGATGGCTCTGAGAGGCCAGGATAGAGGAAGTCTAAATAATTATGTTGAGGGTTCCAGTCATGTTCCTTGGTAGGATTATGGGGTCCTACAACAGTAGAGGGATCATGGTAAAGAAGGTCCAGGTTGCGGTGTTAAGATGACGAGGTTGAGGCTGGCAGGTGGGGTGGTGAAGGGCATTAGACTTTCACATGGCCGATCACGTTTCAAGTCCTGGACCTGGAGGCTTGCTTTCTCACTCTCTTTCTCTGTCCCCCTCTGGCCACATTAAAATAAATAAACAAATAAATAAAGTTAAATAAGATCATTAAAAAAAAAGAAAAGATGATGAAGTTGGTTTGGGTGACTTAGGGGACAGGCTCTCCAGCTAGAGATGACCAGAGGCATCCCCCACAGCCTGGAAATGACCTATTTTGTATTATACTTAGGCTATGTACATGGTCTAGCATCAAAAATATTACATTCTACTTTGCCTGATTTTTACTTACCTATGCATTTACCGTTAGACTGTAAGTTCCTTGAGGTCAAAGACCCCTGTTTATTTATCTTTGTGCCACTAGTTTAATACACTAACTGGCATAATACAGGTGTTCAATAAATGGGTGGTGAAATATTGGGGAAATTCTCATAGGAATATAAAACAATGGTCTTTTTGAATTCAAATTTGTTTTCTAAAGACTAGCCAGAAAGGTATGACAGGTAAAAAGGAGAAAATAATTATAAAAGCAAAAAAATGTATTTCTAGAAATAATAGCCACACACACACACACACACACACACACACACACACACACACACACACACACACACACACACACACACACACACACACACACGCAAACACACACAAAGTCAGTTGGAGGTATGTGACTCTGCATCATATATGAGTGTAGCCAGCATCGTGCAGGTCCCTGCTGGCTGGGACAAATAACCTAGGCAAATGAGAATGCTTGTTACACTCTGTTTGAACAGCTTTATGCTTTTGTTTGTCAAAACAAAGGTTAATAAAAGTGACAGGAATATGCCAGACACTGTTAATAAGGCTTATAGTAAAAAAGCCATTTCTCCTGAGGAAAAGCCCTTTTAGACCCACCAAAACATGTGGTTTTATTGTATTTTTGATAGGTGTATGACCAATGTATGTTAGCATGTATTGGCTGTCTTTGCTTTAACCCCAAACCGCGTGGCTCAACCTAACAACTGTTTATTTAGCTCCTAATTCTGCATAGCGGCTGGGAAGTCTTTCGGTCTTGGCCAGCTTGGTTCATCCCAGGGTTGCTCAGGTGTCTAGTTCATTGGTGGATTCTCTGGGGCTGGTTGGTGTATGATGGCCTTGGCTGGGATACCTGGGACCTCTGGTTATATGACCTCTTTGCCTCCAGCAGGCTGCTCTGGACTTCATCGTATGGTGGCAGTTACAGAGAGCAGCAAGGGGGCAGACCGTAGAGTACAAGAGGCTTTTCCGTCCTCTGCTTGTGTCACATTTGCTCACTGCCCATTGCCAAATCGAACCACATGGGTAAGCTTAGAGTCATTGAGTCCTGGGCGAACAGAAGCCAGAACCAGACAGAAATTATTAATAGATCCCCAAGGCTCAGAACACTTCAGGTTCCTTTGCTGTTTCTGAGCCCCTTAGAAATGAACTGTATAATTTCTAGGGACTTTTCCTCTTCTCTGTTCTTTCATTGCTCCCTGGCAAGGAACTATAAATGACCTTGATTGTAACATCTCAGACATTCAGTGCAGTATTGACTAGAATTCCTTATTGGGACTGTCAGGGCTTCCTTTTTTTGTAAACGATAGAGCTTTGTGAAATAAGTGTGGCCTTTGGAATTTACTGTTCATAATCTTAAGAAGTTGCAGAGGCATAGTGAAAAGGTCAGGCCAGTTCCCATTTTGCATCAGGAAGCTTTATGGCAAAGTCTTGTAAGTATCAGGTGATGATAGCCAGCAGTAAACATGAAGCCTTATTTATTTTTTTTTTTAGTTTAAGAAACAGTTAAGGTGGTAGCATGGCATGTTTGTTATTGAAGAGACTAAGCACAAAGGAGTGATGAGAGCATGCTGCTATTACAGATGCTGTTATTTTACATTTTCAGGAAGTAATGTGCTTTGGTAGATACTGAACTTTAATGATTCCCTTTGTGTGTCAGTACTGTAGAGAGGCTAAAGCGATGAGAATCTGGCAGTATTTAATTACCTCTTCCTTGTCTTTGGTAAGAGCTTCTCCATTTTATTAATGTGGGTCTAGACATTTCTGATTTTCTATATGCCACTAAGGGAGGTCATTGCAAGTCGTTTGTTTAGACTGCATTCCCATGAAAGTCCTGTCCACTGAAGTCAATGATAGCTACTAAAAAATAGCTTTAAGTTATTGCTTGTGTGACTGGAGAAAAAGAAAGATAGGATTCCTGCCCTTTAAGGTCTTATACTCAAAGGTTGATAAGGCTGATACTGATAGAAAAAGCACATAAGCCACTTTAAAATGCTGAATTTTATGGCATGCGAATTATATTTCAATTTTTAAAAATACATGGACTTGGAAAGAAAAAAAATTGCATCGATATCATCCTAGGGTAAATGTGGAATAACCTGAATGGTTAATAATGGGAGAATTTGGTCAGAGGATTACTAAGGGGGGGGTAATTTCTTTTTTCGAATTAATTCCAAATTTACTCGAATGAATTACGAGAACTCTTTGAATGGAGAAGGAAAGGAGCTTTGGAAAAAGTATAATCTAGGTTTAAAGCATAATTTACAAGAAATCTAGTAGATGGGAACGAAATGATGAAATGAGTCAATGAATCTGAGAGAAGTGGGGAACGAGTGGTGTTCATGGAAACTGATTGAGGAAGCAAGGAAAAAGAAGACTCTGCAGCACGGCATTTTCTTCTTGGTTGTCCTTTAAGTGCTGGGAGGGTGTTCTAGGTCAGCAGTGCTTCAATCTCCCTGAATCAGTCAATGTTTGACTTTTATTTATTTACTTATTTTAGGTATTTGCCACAGGGCGCATATGCTTACTAAAGCAGAGAGAGACAGAGAGAGGGAAAGTGAGAAATCACCCTTCGGGGTGGAGATGGTCACATTGCAATCCCTTCTTCTCCATTCTCCTCTCAGGATTTTGGGCACGCACGCATGAGTGCCTGGCACAAGTTTCAGACCACTGGGTCTGGGACTTGAACCACATTCGACCATGTGGGAATCAAGCCGCCTTCACCACCTTGTCACTTGCTTGCGCCTACACAAGGTTTGACTTTAAACCCTCCTACTTTCAGAGACACAGTGTGGCCTTGCACCTTTTAAATAAGGCTTAAGCTTTCAGGGTTGTTTCTTGTTCCTTTGAAGACTTCCGTTAGTGAGTTGATAATGGGAAGAGACCCATCAGCACAGACCTCCCAGGATTGTGAGGTTTCCATTGTGTAAGTCTTGAGTGGCAGAATTCAGTGGGCAAGCCAGGTCTGAGAGCCCGTCATCGTGCTGGACTGCTGCTGCCAGGCCTAAAGTTACATCTCCGTTTGCTTATTTTCCATTAAAACCTAGTCTGTGAAGAGGGACCAATTTTAAGTCATTGAATGTTTTCAATTTACTAGGGATGATGTCCTGTCATTTAAAAAAATAACCAGAGGACATCCCATTTTGTCACATTATTAAAATTGCTTCTGGGAGAGTTAGAAGCTTCTAGACCCAGTGAAAAATTTAATCACCACATCTAGTACAGATCAGAAGCTTTACATCATGGAAAGCCTGATATAAGCATCATTTTCTTTTTCCTTTTCTCTTTCTTTAATTACCAAGAAACCTGAAGCCAGTTACTCAACTATATGTCAGTGTGGATGCCAGCACCAAAGACAGCCTTAAGAAAATTGACCGTCCACTCTTTAAGGATTTCTGGGAAAGGTTCCTTGACAGTTTAAAAGCCTTGGCAGCAAAGGTAAGAAGTATGACATCGTAAAAATAAATATAAATAAATAAATAAACAAGAGCAGGAAAAAGAAACAGAGGTATTGTTTTGCTCTATAAAATAAAGAGTAAATGAAAATGTCAACATTTTAAAGACTTCTTCTTTGAGGAATATTGAACATTTACTATTTAATAAATATTTATTGAATTCCTTTATTGTAGAACAGTGCCAATATATATCATTTGTCCTTCGTGTATTTTAGGAGAAAGATAACATATACCCCCGAAGATAATTTATAAAACAGAGATAGGTAGCAGTACATAGCAAATTTTTTTCTTTTTAGTTTATGCTATAGGGCCTGTGCACCCCAAGGAGACAGTGGAGGGTGGGGGTGGTGGCGGTGAGAAATCACTCCTGTGGGGAGATGGCCACACTGCAGTCCATTCTCCTCTGGATATTTTTGTAAACATGCATATGCACCTGGTGTGTTTTTCAAGTCACATGGTCTGGGACTCAGACTGCACAGTCGGCCATGTGGGATCCAGCCACTTTAACCTCCATGCCACTGACTGGCCTGTAGCAAATCTTACAGAGGTGCCAGCAGATGTTGTATACTTAAGATGAAGTTAAATTCCCTGAATTTCTGGAACCCAAAAGCAACTCAACCTTATGATGTCCGAATTTAATGTTTCTTCCTGCAGACATTTCACCCTTGTGTGTACTCTCTTATGACATACCTGCCTACTCTTTGACCTAGAGTGTCATTCTGGTTCTTCTTTCCCAATCTGACATACCAGTAGTCGGTACTTTCTGTAAGTTCTACCTTTATATACCTCTTGTAGCCACTTTCCCCTTTATATTCTCCTCGCCTCTGCCCTGTATGTCTTGCAGAAAAGCCTCCACTTGATCTTATTTCCTGTCACTTTTCTGAGCAGTTCTTTCTGTGCTACTCATATCTGACTGATAATGAGGATCACCACCAAAACTTAAAAAATTGCAGTTTCCTGTTCCTGGTGATCCTGGTGGCATCTGCAAGGACTTCTGATGTGCAGGCTATGTATGGGAGTCAACGTCTCAGAACACCGCCCTTCCCTCCTTGGCCTTGCACTTGCTTTGACATTCTCAGTCCATCTCTGTCTGGCTCTGGCTCACATTTCCAGACTCTTTGTTCACTCTATTTCCCAGGAGCGCCACACTTCTCTGCTGACGTGGCCGTTTCTGCACTGCCCGGCCTTTCTTCTGAGACTTTGGTTTTTCTCTCTTCAGATCTCAGAATGTCCTTTCTTGCCATTCTTTGACTTGTATGAATTCTTCTTACCCTCCTAGGCTCAACTTCATTTTTCCCTATAGTAGGAAGCCTTTTCCAGTTGCAGTGAGCTGCCTTTTTTTCCTTCTTAAGTTTTATATTTATAAAAATACCTTTTGTGGTCTGTTTCATCCTTGCTCCTTCCTCTCTGTTGAACTAGATTCTTGACTCGTGTCTGAACCCCACACAATGTTTGGCATATACACAGCACATTTTATGGTATTTAATGTTTCTTAAAGGAATGAATATGTGGAGTCTCATCCAAGGTTTGTAGTATACTGCATGCATTTTCCTGCCTGTTCAGTTGATTAAATCTTTTAAAATTCTACTTACTTATTTTTACTATTTTTGAAAATTAAATTATGCCCTTTTTTGGTCATTAGCATTGACATTAGTAAATGCAGAAAGGCACTTGGTTTTTGAGCTGTCTTGGGTAATTTATAAAACTCGCAGGCTGAGTGTTACTTGCGTTCCTACAATAGTTTTGACTTTGGATTTCCCCTTCAGCTCTATCACCTTCTCTTGTTTCATGGACAGGAGATACATTACATAAAACTCAGAATGGAATTACATGGCAATAAACAGCAAGAGTTGGAAATACTAGACTCATCTCAGATTGTTGTTTAAACTGTATTCTGACTCAAGAGCGTGGAAGATGATAAATAGGCATCGAATGAATAGCTTAATGGCTTATTTCTTTGGCCAAAATTTCCCACAACCTTAATTCTTACCTTGAAGTTACTAGCTTTTAGATGTCCAATTCAATTGTTATTACTCGGGTTGACTTATGACTAGTAATGTAGTAACTTAGAGTTCTACAATAATCTCAAACCCATGAGCGTGTACATATAATATCACTAATGTTGATGTGGGGATGCCAGAGTGCAGGGGTAATCAAGTCTAGCACTCCCAGTGGGACACTGGTTCTTGTCTGTAGCTCACGAAGAAAGGAGGGAAGAGTAGAGATCGCAAGCAGAGAGTGGGTCTCAAACGGGTTGCTGAAGAGGAACTGAGGCAGGGGAGTTTAATGGGTCAGAGGAGCTCTGTTTGTGCTCCTTCTCAAGTGGTGCATGCATATTTTTTTTTTTTTTTTTTTTGGTGGGGGGGGTAAAATGCTGGGGGGTTCTTGTTACACTCAGAAGGTGCATGAATGATACAGAAAGCACTCCTTCCTCAATGGGACCTGGTCATACTACAATCCTTTTTCAACCGATTTTTCAACCTGTCTGGATACTGGGCAGCATGCATATGTCTGGAGTGTTTTACAAGCTGCTGGAGCTGAAACTGAAACCTTGGTCAATCTGTGAGATTCAGTTTTCTCTGAATGTCACTTAACTACTGCACTAAGGGGACAGCCCACCAGTAGAAAAGTGGTACAAGATTCCATCCTCCTAGCAATGCAATGGGGAGGAAGCTCCTAACTTCTCCCTGGGAAGAGAACAAGAACAATAGTGGTTCTTGTTAAGTGGTGTATTGATTTTTTTTTTTTTTTTTTTTTTTTGGTGGTGGGGGTCACATGCTGGATGGATCTGGTTACTCTTCCTAATTTTGGAGTGAGTATGAGAATCAGGAAACTCTCTTTGCTTAAAAGCTTTGAGCTACTAAAGACTGTTACCTTCTACCTAGAATGTGATGGGACCAGGAAAAAAAAAACTTTGTTTTTAGATTAATTGGTAACTCACGGCAGGAAGTTGTCTCTCTGAGCAAGCGGTTAAGCTATAGCTGTCTCCATCTCAAAACTCAGTCATTTTGTGGTCTTATTTTGTACCTATACCCTAACTGTATTCTTAGAGTTCCTGTCTTCTACCTCACATGGATTTTTAAAAGTAAGGCTTTTACAAAGAAGAAATGGTTAATGGTCATAAGAATTCTTGTATCATTCAGGCTCATGGTATAGGTGCCCTTTGTTCTTAATTGTAGTCCATACTGGCTAGTCTTGGAATTTTTAGGTAAGTGGTTAAGATTGTCCTTTGGCTCCACACCTGGTCTTCTTAGCGTAGACCATCTGGGGAGAGGCTGTAATTTTACCATGCATTAAGCTCATTGATCTAGAATTTTTATTGGGTCCGAGTGCTTAAAATTCTAGACTTGGAAGTTGTTCTGTCTTGCGTCCTTGTCTCTAATTATTTTGTTTGTATGTTTCTATGTATAGTATAGGTATGGACCAGAGGGAGAGAGAACAGGAAGGAAAGTTACTTTTCTAGTTCTGTTATAGTGGGCTGACTGGTTTTGGGTAGACTGCCTGGTTTTGGGGTCTCCCTGAATCGGGGACAGTATTCCACTTGACTCCCTGTTTTCCCTAACTACCCAGCCCGAATAGCCTCTACCTCAATATTTCCTTGTTATTCTAGTTGGAAGTGTTTTCTCGGGCAATTTAACTATTTGAACACGAATAGGGGCATTTGCTTTTTAAGCTTTTTGTAGCAATAGGTTTATGTTTCTCATTTTTGTATTGTTTATGTTGCCATTTAAGAAAGATCTGTGGCAGGAAGCTGCTCTGGAATAAAAAAGTCTTCTTTAAATGAACTTAAACTGTTATTTCCTTCTGAATATCAGATATTATAAAGTATAATAGATACTATCAAGAAAGGTTTGTTTTACTGCTATTTAAGATTCAAAACTAAAACATGGATGTTATAACTGTGTTTATCAGCTAGGGTCAAACGTATTACTAACATACTACAATATTGTTTTGAGTTTTCAGATAAAAGTGCTATTTCAGATATTTTATTTAGAACATCTACCCTGTTACTCCTATTACTTGTTTAGATTTTTAGTATACCTGAGCAAGGAAAGGTATTTGATGACAGAGCGTTTCTTGAACTTTACAAACAAATTTGATTTGTCCTAAGATTTTCAGTCTATTTATTTATAAGCTAATGCTACCCAAATTAGAAGGTAGAATATTTGTTTTTTTATTCTTGGCAAGTATAATGTTTACATTTATAGATCTTTATCCTTTGTTAAAATGTTCCTTGTCAATACGAAGAGAGGAGAGAAATATATTGGAACTTGAGTATGTGGGGCTGAAAAACAATTCTGTCAAGATAACAACAAAAATGTGTTAGCTTCAATTTCCGTCTGTGACAGCTACATATCAAATGGTCTTTATTTTAAAAAAGAAATTCATTTTGTACAAGACAACAAACACAGCCTACCTTTAGCAGTAGATTTTTAACAGCAGTGTGACCAGATGAGTTTCTGCTGGTGCATTATTATGCCAAGGTCAAGATGCAGTAGGAAATTGAAGTATTTAATCCCATTCCATGTTAAAGCAGTAACACTGACATTCTTGAAACCTCATATTTAAAAAGAAAAAGACAAAAGTAATTTCCTGCATTAGACATTCTTGGATATCAAAAGTGAACATCAGCCCTCTTTCTATAAATGTTAGGATGTTCTGACCTGACATTATTATTTGAGGAATATTGTTCTATTGTTAAGGAAGGTTTATTGTACATTGATGTTATAGCTCTGTATCTAATATTTAAATAAATCAATGTGAGCATGTGACCGACAATTTGCAAATTAAAAAGCAGGAATTTGGGGGCCAGCAGATGGCATAGTGGTATGTTGCTGGGCTCCAACGTGGCCGATTGCAGTTTGAGTCCCGGACCCGGTGCCTTGAAAATCACACTGGGCATGTATGTGTGCTCAAGATCTCAGACCAGCTAAGGGATTGCCACATGGCCTTCTTCCCTGCGGGGGGCAGGGGGTTGTGATT